GTATTACATCACAAGCACAATCCTGTTCAGAATAAACACGATACAAAAATAAATCATGAAGAAAAGTTCACAAAATTCTATCCCATTCATTCAGGCTCCTTAACAAAAAGAGATTTTTTTTTCTACAGCTTGGTACAAATTATGATGGTAAAATTGTAATAGTGGATCTGAAATATCCAGGTAAATGCTGAAAGATGGTTTCTCTTAATAGATATTTGAATTTTTAAATTAATTAAAAAGAAAAAAAGTTGCTGCTCACCAGGGCGTATTTGGATTTGCTCAAGTAGGATATTTGAAGTGAAACCATTCACAATTGGATGTATACTATTGAGTTCCCATCTCGTCTATATACATGTAGGTTCTGGAGCTAGAAAAGCCAACTTCCTGGTGTTTAAATAGTTTAAATGAAGATGGTACCCTAAAAATAATGACTCATAAAAGACTATGTTCTTCATAAATTTGCAAGCTTGTAGGGCCACTTCCTAAAGTCTTTTGTCAGTTAAACCTGCCATTGTGTTAATACTAAGATTTGAAACATTTTTCTTCACTTCTGGGATCCAGCTGTTGAGTTATTATTGAATTTTATTTAGATAATATTGGCAAATTATTCCTATATACAAACATACTACAGTGGTCATCCTTGCTAATTGCTATTGATAACAAAATACTATTAGTTCCGCATCCACAGCTTTCTTCTTTGTCTGTGTTTCATGCCTATTGACTGGGGCATAGAGTTAAGAACCTAGGCTGCTTATACACATGCTCGGGGGGTGGGGGTGTTTTAATTACAGTGGTTCCCAGAGAGCCACTCCAATTAAAACACCTCACTGTTGTGTGTACAAAGCTCCTGCAGGTTTAAAAATAGCCATGGGGAACTTTACATAAACCTCTTTTGATGAGGTTGAGATAAAGCGCCCCAGTGGCCATTTTAAAACACACAGGGGTTATACACATGCTGGAGTGCTTTAATTAGAACACAGAGAGGATACCTGATTAATTGAGTCTGCTCTGATGCGTTCTGATTAGTGTGTGAATCACCATGTGTATAGGCACCCCTAGATGCTACAATTATGGTCTTCAAGTAGTTACAATCAGCCAATAGCAAAGGTAATTATCACTGGGCTTTGCATCATTTATATGTAGTGAAAATAAACTTGTGCCCCAGAAACTGGCACATGAAGCAAGGGGGAGTTCCCGCTTTTATATAGCAAATCATAGGGGTTAGGCTTACAAGCCAACAGGCCAAAGGGAGGGAACAGGTAAAAGGTAAGAAACATCAATATGGTGGTAACATACACTTGGAAACTTAGTTCCCCCCAGCACACCTCCAGAGGTGTCCCCAAAAAAGCCTTTATTTCCTAGAGTGCTTAAACAGCAGCCTGCAGCTGCCCCCAAGTCTGAGCCCTGCTCCATCAGCCCACAGCCCTGGCTGACTGAGCCAGTGAGACTCCCGCTCCACTGCCCACTCCTCTGTGTAGGGCTGACCATGTGTCACCTGCTCACTGCTGTCTCTTCTCCCTACTCCAGCCTCAAGCTTCTTCTTCCTTTTCTCTTGGCCCCCATCCCTTGTGGGATTTGCAGTCCAAATGAACAGACATCACAGCTCTGCAGACTGCCCCTTGGTTCTTTTTGCTCTTACACACATTACATTCACATCACATTTGCTTTGGATTTTTAATGGCAGATTTGCGGAAGTAAATTCCTTATAAGAACCACTGTGACTGCATATGCTCCTTCTGTAGGGCATTGCTGGCAATCTTTCCAGAGGAAAGAGTGCAGAGAAGTTGCCATTTTAAACGTCGACATTTCTTGCACAGCTCAACAGGACTTTCCTATACTGTAATCGGAAACACTGGTATTTTCCTAAATGCCAGTTTTGCGCAGCGACTGTTGATGAACGTTGATCTTTTTAACAGCAGTCACTAAGTAATATGAGACACACAGTGTTGTGTATATCCATTTGTTTCTGGAAATTTTCCTTCCATTCAGTGATTATATTGCCCTGTTTCTATTAGTCAAGATTTCAATTAAGAGGAAGTTCTGTTCAGAGTTGAAACCCAAACTTGAAACTTCCCTGGCATGACTTGTGTATTCCCTTTCAAATCAAAGGGTTTACTCATGTATGTATAATATCAACCAGTATACCATGGGGTGCATTTTTAGTCCCATGGTTAATATATTCCAGTTATGTTGCTTGAAAATCTCCGAAGGCCATTGATTTTTCTATGTCAGTGTAGTCACTAAGCTGAATTGTACGACACATTCCCTGAAGTGCCATTTTTGTACCTTCCATAACTATGTTTAAGGGCATATACAGTGGGCACATGTTAATTCCACAGCCAATGTGAGAAGCTTGCGATTTCTGTCAACATGTTGACATAGAGTGTGTTTTAGGAACAATTGTAGGTGCTATGATTGCAGCAGCTAATGCTGAGATGCAACCAGTGTCTGTGATAATGGCATAGTTATACCTAAGTGCTGTTCTTCTGCTCAGAGGTTGAGTAATAACTTAAATGTATGAACAGTGTTGTTCCTTAGTTCATGCAGAGGTTCAAGCTATGCCAAACATAAGCCGTTGTTTTTATACATGGCATTGTGAATACCACCTCCCTGTTATTTTTATATAGTTCCACAGATATTGTGAAACTTCAGAACACAAGTCGAAAGTTTCCCTTATCTACAATCTAAATGGCACTATGTTGGGAGGAAATAACATACATGGAAGATAAAGAAGGGCTAAGATGGAGAGAACACATTGAGATGACAGTCATGTGAGAAGTCACTGCATTAAGTAGTTATTCCATCTGAGTTTATGTGAATTGTTTTGAATCTACACATAAGAAGGAGCTGCTGAGAAGAGTCTTAAAATAGAGGGCCATGGCAGGGTAGGTTGGATAAGGCAGGATGTTCCAGGCATAGTAACAGTGGAAGGAAACTCTAGTATGCTTATAATAGTTGCCTTGAGGATGGCAGATCATTTTAAGTGCTATATTATTTAGGTTTTGTTAATTAAAGTTCAATGTAATTATAGATGAACCCTTTCTACGCTGCAGAAGTGTTCATGTAAAGTGCTAGGGATGCTGACCCTGGTCCAGGACAATACTTACATGGTTCTATTAGCGTCCATAGAGCAAGTCACATGCTTAAACTTAAGCATGGGCTAAATTGATTTTTTGTTCTGGTGCCTGTGTTCCTCACCTTCCAGGTTCTGATTCTAAAGAGTGGCCAAAGTTTTTGCATCACATGGTAGCCTCCAAGTGCCACATGCTTTTTAAATGTATTACCTCTGAGCACATTTGCTTTCATGTTATGATTTCAGATGAAATAAATGAAGATGATGTATGAAAAATGGAAATACCTATCCATAGGAAAAAAGTGCCCAGCTCAGGGAGAATTTTTACAATGCACCTTATTGATCCAATCATCCAGTATAAAATAAATAGGGTTATCACGGTTTGCGGCAATGAGGCCTTGGAGGTGGTTTCAGTATGGAGATTATCAACACCTCATAGCCTCAGAACATTCCTTGGGAGTAGATGAAGAATACTGCATCAAACAGGCTGACGCACAAGTATACTAAAGTTATGTAAAAAAGAATCCTAATAGTATTGTTGGCTCAGATAAAGTTACTGCCTAGGCCTAGGCACAATTGCTATTTTTTGTATCATGAAGTAAATTTTAAATGTTTCTCTAAATATCCAGTGACATCACTGACTCTGAACAAGCCATTGTCTGCCATGTTTGGGAATGTTTGAGTTCACCAAGAAGAATTTGGAATGATTGGTCCAGAATCTCTTAGGGGACTCCTGAAGATACTGTTCTTCAGCATAAGAGTTTTACTGTCCTCTTATTACCCTGACTCTATGTGCACTGGGATTTTGTTCTAAAACCTGGCCCCGTGGAAATCCCTATACTATTGGGATTTTACCTATCCAGAATATCAGGGAGATAGGGCCAAAAAAAATTCTTTCCCTTTGTACTCATAAAGAGGGAGTGCATCTACACATGCAATTAATGTCACACCATAAATTCTAGTGCTGTTTGAACTGGAGGAAACTGCTCCTGGGCACAGCATCCACATATGCACCCAGGAAAGCAGCAGTTTGAGCCAGAGTAGAGCAGGTCCCTGGCTGGCAGGGCATGCAGAGAGGCAGGACACAGTTCAAAACTTTATTAAGCAGTCTGTGTTCCCACAGCCGGATGGATACATGCCTGTCACATCTTGAGGAAGGCTTCAGTGCCAGTGGCAATGTCCTCCTCAGCAATGGGGGGCAGCAACGTGTAGCGCTGCCACAGGTAGCCCTCAAGACAGTGGCAGAGGTTACAGGGCAGCACAGGCTTGCCCCACACATGCCAAACCAGGAGTGCAGGTGTGCCTGGGGCACCAGGAAGATCAGGACCAACAGGGCATAGTGGCTTGGTTACCTCTCAGCCTGCACAAACAATTCATTATGCACCTCCTGGGGCACATGCAGCAGGGGCATGCTTGGGGCACAGCGGCAGCATGGGACGGAACTGGCCCGGGGTGTCTCCCTGGAGTGGTCCTCAGTGGGGAGGGTGGGGTACAGCCAGCCCCTCACCCCAATTGCCTGGGAGCCCCATGCACCCTGAGCCCAGGAACCATGGGCTGTGTGGCAGCAGAGCAGAGTGGTTGGCCTGCAGGAGGCTGGGGAAGGTAGCAGGATCTGGAGCAGTAGCAACAAGTATTGCCAGGAGCCTGGTCTGTTGAACCCTGGGAAGGGGGTGGGGGAGGCAAGCTGCCTGTGGCCAGCACCCAGAGGCCCACTGGCCCCAGGGGAGCAAGTGGGGATGGGAGGCTCAGCTGGCAGCCACCTGAGCCCAGCAGGCCTGGCCGGCCAGACTTACCCTGGTTCCTGGGCACCTGTGCACAGCTGACCCCCGAGCTGAGACAGGGCAGCGCACAGCCCCTTGTGCAGAACATCTTATCTCTGACGGTTGCAAACTCTCACAAAAGGCTTCCCAGTCTCTTGCCTCTGTAGGGCCAGCATCTGGACACAGGAATGACACCACAGGCCCCAGCAGGGATGTGGGCTCTAGGTCACCACCACCCAGTGCTGGGACCCACTGCATGTTCCAGCCTTGCCAGCAGTGGACTCAAGATCAGACCCTCATGCTCCAACAGCTGGTAGCAGTAGTGGAGGAGCAGGAGGCACGGGCGCAGGCCTAACGGGAAGAGGACATTACCTAGGAGACTGCCTGGGGAAGACACATGGGACTGGGCACAGCGGGAGCACTGGGTCATGATGAAAGCCCTGGAGTGGAAGTGGATTGAGCTGCTCAGGCAGCAAGTGGCCATCCAGGGCTGGGCAGTAGAGGCCATGCACCATGACTGCTTGACTCTGGACATTGGGCCTGGTGGTTTTGTGTGTGCCCTGCACTGCCTGGTCCCTGTCTCTGGCCCTACAGGGCTGCTGGCAGCTGCCCGCCACCCCGCAGAAGGCCCCTGGCCTGGTCCCCAACCTGGGTCCCCTGCCACCTGCCTGGGCCTGGCCACATTGCTTGCCTTGACACCATGCACGTGAGGACTCAGAGGTGCCAGGCATGGCACTGAGAGGGGATGCTGGCCCTGTACTTGGGCAGCCAGAGCAGGAGCTGCCCGCCCTTGGGAAGCACCGTCTGCCATTGATGCAGAACAGTCCTGCCACCCACTGTGGTTGCCCCACAGGGGAATGGCCTGAGGCTTGAGTGCTGGCTGCCTACCCCTAGACTCTGCCCCCTATGCACCCCCACCCCATGGCCCCTTGCTCTGGGACTCACAGAGACTGAGAGTCTTGTAAATAGATTTGACACTGGGGAGAGGGATTTTTATTGTTGGTAGTTGGGGAGGGTGGTGGAGGGGCTTGGTTTGTTGGGGAACGAAGTGGGAGGAGGCTGTATTGGTTGAGAGGGGAAGGGGGAGGGAGCTCTGTGTGTTGGCTAGGGAGGGGCAAGAGGGCTTACACTTCAGTGTGCCGCCTCTGCCCAGGCCTCCCTGAACAACTCTCCCTAGGCCTTGCAAATGTTGTGCAGCACATAGACTGTTACCTTGACCTGGGGGAGTTTTCTCTCAGCCACTTTGAGGTGTGTCGTGAGGGACCTCCAGTGGCCTTTGATGCGGCCAAAGGTGCACTTGATGAGGGTGTGGGTCCACCCGAGGCACCAATTAAAATGCAATGGATGTGTTTTAAAGATGGCTGCCAAGTGCTGGCAGCTGGGGCTAGAGGCTGGAGCTCCCCTCATTCACCGCAGGGGAGCATGACAGGGCTGGAGGAACCTGGCACTAAGTTTAGTGCCAGATCCTTGAATGTGTAGACACCTTCCAAAAATCGCTTACTGCACATTAAATTTAGTTGCAACTAATTGCACATGTAGACGCACCCAGTAAAGCGCACATGTAGATGCACCCAGGGTATCTGAATGGTCTCTTCATATTACAACTCTGTACATGATGTGTTACTTATTTTTAAAAGGAAAAAATATGTTTAATTTTTAAGTAATATCTGGGGCAGGAAGGGATGCAGGACAGAAATCATTATTGAACAGGAAAAAAACTGGTGCCTAGAAGCTTGTGTCTTTCACTAACAGTTGGTCATAAGTTAGCATTCTTGATCTCTATGTGTGACACCAGACTCCCTCATCATACAACTCTCAGTTGATCTGATTTTCAATCTTAGAATCCACTCAGCAGGCAATTGGCTAGGTTTGGGGTGGAGAAATAGAAGCATTGATGGGCTTGGGAGTAGCTAGGCCCTGAATTTCACAGTCAGTGAGGCAGGAAATTATATCAAGACAGAACTGACTGTATGTAAGAAGGAAAAGAGGAAAATGCGAGGAATCTGGGAGTCTACTCCTAAAAAAGCCCCTCACAACTAGTTTTGTTTCCAAGATGAAGCCTCAGAGGTCAAGCACAGGACACGTTATGAATGGCCAGAACAGATAGAGGCAGATCTAGGATTTTGAAAAGCGGGGTGCAGATGATGTGGCACATCATCGCATATAACACAACACATTTTTCTCCAGTTAAAGCGAAACTAGGAAGTTTAAAAAAATACAATGAACTAGGGGGAAAAAAAATCAAACTAGTTAAAAGGTGTTGCATATTTAGTCCCATATTTATTATAGTTAAATGTATGTCTCTCATTTAGATTGATAAAACAAAATGTAGTCCTCTTGAGCATCTTGACAGTGCCTTACCCATATTTAAAGCTCACTGAAAATTTCTGACACAAAATGCTTCATCCCTGTATGCTTGCTCAATGAAGTACAAATGTCTGACAGGACAGTACTGATTTCTTTGACATTTTCATAAGACATGATTAAAAAACTGAATTTATCCAAGTGAAAGTCAATCCAAACATTTTATTTTGACTTTTCTGTTTCAAATTAGAATGGGCAAAATGAGCAAAACCTAATACTTACATTGAAATGCAAATGTTTTGATAAAGTTGAAACATTTCTAAATAAATTCACCTGGCAAAAAATCTCTGAGCTTTTGACTTACTATCTTGACGTGTGATGAAGCCCAATTTTGTAACTGCCAAATTTGCTCGTGGATGGGGTTTTGATTTTTGGCCTGTTATAGTCCTATTAGCACGTATTCAGTCCCATATGTATATTCATTGACAAGAGTCACTAGGTATTGGTGTTGGGCTGGGTACACTTTGATTGGTGTAAGTGATCAGGAACCGGTTTGTAACAAACAGAAGTCCGGCATACATAGACTGGTGTTTAAAAATAAAAAAATCTGATCTAAGATTTGCTCCCCCACCACGCGAATGTGTGTTCTGTTCCCTACCGATCTAAACCACACTGCTTACAGAAAACCACGTAACTTAGACGGATTCCACCTTGGACTTTTTGAATGTCTGTACCTAGCCTGGGTGATTTCCTGGCTTTTTGTATTGCACAGTTTGCTTATTAATTCTGTGCCTCACACACGTACCGTTCCCCTAATTTATTCCAGAAACATGTCAGAAAGTTTTCATACTTCATAGACTGGCCTTCACTGCAGTTTTGGTAACACTTTTTCGGTGACAGATGATACTCACAAGGGTGCAAAGCCAGTTATATTTACACTCTCCTAGAAGGTTTAGTGCAGTTGTCACAACTTGTCAATGGTCAGAGCTGAACAGGTCTCAGACAGTATAATGATACATTTCTTTTATGGTACCTGGCATATTTGGAAAGGAGCTGACTGGTTGTGAAGTAAGCACTTAGAAAAGAAAAAGCAGCTATTTTCTTTTTGTTCATGAGCAAATACTTTATTTTACAATCTTCTCGGTCGTCTTCTTCATTCCAACACTGATTACAATAAAGTGAATTAAGTTCCTAGTTTTGTGCATATTTTTTTCTTTTCCCTTCACACTAACATTCCACAGCTCTAACTTTGAAAAAGTTACAAAGCAGCAGTGTCATAGCAACATTTTATTTTCTCTTCAAAAGCTCTCTTTTCCAAAACTGAACGACTGAAAAGTTAGATTGGAAAAAAAAGGGAAAGGGTGGGGGAACAAAGAGAAGAAAGAAAGTGAGATCAACCCAACAACTTTGAACATTGTTTATTTTATTGCAAATAGTGGCATCATTCCAAAATTTAAAAAAAGCTCCAAATTTGGTAACTGCAAAAATTCAAACAATTTCCAAGGACACTTTGGAAAAATATAAGAAGAAAATATTCCTTCATGGAATCCTAGAAAATTGAATTGAATTTTTGTAGTTTTCTGCAAAAGTGTTTTTATTCACCTCTGCATGATATAAAATTAATATACCCATCACAAACCATCAGTTACCTTATATATCAATCACTCACCAAATATAAGATGGCGGGCTAGAAGAAGAGAAATGAGCAAATATTTTAAAATCCTGGAGATCTGTATGGTTTGTTTTCTTAAAACTTTCAACCAAACTAAGAAGTTGATTGTATAAATTATGAATTAAAGGTTATTTCTTATATCCAATATTTTGGCATTTTCAAATTCAGAAAAATACCTTTGCCATCCAATTTTATTCATAATTTTTCTCAAAAAACAAAAGATTGTCAATGACGTTTAGGCTTCGAGTAAGTCATTTTTGTAATCAAAACTTAGGCTTTTAACTCACTATGTTATTCTTTAAAACTACTTAAATTTCATTCTTCAAATATGAGTTCCCATGAAATCCAAATTTATGTTTCTTTTCCCATCTTAGACATTACATTTGCTGTTTAAAGCATATAACCATTTCTTTTCTAACTCCTCCATTAGTGCTAAATAAATTACAAGGGGCTTGGAGATGAAAGACCGTGTCAGCAATTAAAGGCAGATCATGTTTAACTTGTCCAATTTACTCCATCAAAGCAGGGAAAGTAGTCACTACATTTTTACCCTGTAAGCTCCTCTTTAATAGATAAAAATAATCTGGCCCCAAATTATTGCCTAGCTCTTCTGTTTGACACTAAAGTACAATGTTTTCTTAGTTACAGAATGCTGGATTGTTAGCTGAAACACTTAAATCCAGTCTATCTTTGTTTCCGCTTTTCTTCACCAAAAAAATAAAGAAACAAAAGCCAACAACCGCCCCCTCCAAACCCATCTTCGAGTTTATTTGATGACTCCCTCAAGTCTGTTAACCTTTAAAATGATACCATTTAATTTTTCATCCGTTTTTCAAATCACATTATTTTGCATATATTTCATATTCTAGAGGAGTGCCAGACCTGAGAATTGAACTCAGGGGCGCTTGTGTACCATATCTGAGATCTCTCAATTGTTTGTGTTGCTGAGACCTTTTATACAGGAAAACTGTCCCCAGAAAAGACCCCGCCAATTATAAATGCCTTGCTCAAAAATAAGACTGGAACAAATCTTGAACTATTCAGTGTCACCGAGTAAATACACCTACCAATTATATATAATAACCAAATTGTGGCACATCATTACCACTTCCACTGCCACCCCCACACACAGATGCATGCCAGTAACTTCTCAAAGGGGGTAAACACTTAGCAGGTTCCTGTACAGTGAAAGGCATTCATCACTGAAAAACTAAGGGATAGATTGCACCAGTCTTACTCCCCTTTACACAGTCCTTTCGCTCTTTGAGCAGTAGTACTGACATCATTTGGACTGCTCGACTAGGCCGTTACTCAGCATGAATAAGGTCAGCAGTAATGAGAGAGCTTAATTTTCAGCAAATGAAGTCTACTTGCCCCTTCAATGAGTGGAGTGAGTCTTCCTTGGGCATAAGACTTAAGTCTGCAGCTGAAGAACAAATAGTACATTTACTGAAGAAATGCTTAAGAACTAGTAAAAGCAGTATTCACTGGGGCAATAAAACAACAAAACACAAAATAAACCCACTACCACCACCCCCGGCCTCAAGTCAATAAATAGCTCCTAGCATTGCCAGGCAACAGGCGCTGATCTTTTGCTCACCCTAACTAATATTGACAAATGGTTGGAGCCAAAAAGCCAGTTATCAAACCCTCAAGATTTC